CAAAAGGGATAAGTATCTACTGCCTTTCCCATAGAAACTGCTTAAAATAAATGTTTCTGTGAAAAAGACACTGTAACAATCACAAGTAGTATTATTTAAAAGTTTAAATGCACAAATATATATAGTCAGGACGGTCACAAAAATGACTGCTTATAATAGTACAAATTAGTCTACATTACGAAATCCCTTTATTAGTGGCAACATTAGCTACCAAATGCTGCAAAATATAACATCACTTCTCTGAAAAGAGATTAAGCAAAGATATAAATAAATGCAGACATCTGGCTAAAGAAGACCAAAGAAAGTTCATGTTTACCCTTGAAATCAACCATAATAAAGACAGAAAAATAAAATCTGAGCTTCAAAGAAACAAAATCAAAGAGAAAAAAAAATCCGTACATTATAAAAAGCTGTTAAATTAAGAAAAAAAATGAATTTTAAAAATATTACTGTATCTCCACTTGACAGTATTACAGTAAAAGTATTATAGTAATTTCATGCTATGGCATGTTATGTAGCAATTAAAAACAATAATGTAGACCTACATGTAGTAATATGATTATGATAAGATCTCCAAGACTTCAAGAGAAGAAAGCAAGTCTCAGAAGAAATACGGTATGATACCATTTAGAGCTTAAAAAAAGATTTTTTTACGTGTGTGTTTCTATTAGCTTCAACCACATGAAACTGCATTTTCAGAGGTCAAAAATAGTTGAATACCTGTAATCTCATATGGTTCAATCTGTAGAAAAGAACATGTGAAACTGCATACCAAAAGGAAATAGCTAGGGCCTCGGGGGTGGGAAGTAGTTTTCAGGAAGTAAGATAGCGAGGAAAGTAAAGAAAATTCGCTCTTAAATTGCATGTTTAGCTTCGAGCACCTATTACACTATCATCTTACATACAATAGGTATTTCTTACCTATTGTATAGCACATGGATCTCTGCTCAGTGTTATGCGCCAGCCAGGATGAGAGGGGCATTCGGGGGAGAATGGACACACGTGTATGTATGGCTGAGCCCCTTCACTGTTCACCTAAAACTATCACATTGCTAATTGGCTATACCCCAAAATAAAATGTTTTTGGTGCTAAATAAAAATTTAAATTTAATAAAAGTAGGTATTTTTTACCAATAAACATTACCAGTAAAAAGCAAACAAAACAAATACCTCCCAACTCCTGCTGAAGTCCTTGAGCCTGTCGAATAAGGAATTTGATAGGAATTTGATCCATTAAAGAAGATGAATATGATTTGGGTTTTCTTTGCATGGCAGCTGTCAGTCAAAAATAAGAAATATAAGATATAACATCAGAAACAACATGAATCTTAACCTTCAACACAAACAGGAACAAACACAATGTCAAATTACTCTTAATTCACTTAATCTGTGAATATAGCTCATAAAAGATAAAGAATCACTACCAAAGTAGTGAATACATATGACGAGCAAGAACATGCTTCAAGGCAATATCTGGAAAATGCCCTGAAACTGAAACCAGCGGGAAGAAAAATCATGAGTGAGAGAAGCCACCTGCAGAAGTGCCCAACTCTTAAAAAAATAGAAAAGAAACTCCCCCAAACCTAATTAGGAAGACAAATGCAGTCATGACCACATGGCTTAAAATTTCATGATGCCAACAGCCTTAATCATATTATCTATTAGTGGTGACTGACTCTTTCTGAAGAAAGTTGGGAAATATGAATGACTTTCTTCTCCTACAACTTCTACCTTCAACTAACAAATCCATTTTTTTAAGCAAATCCATCTTAATTTCTATTCTTTTTCTGCTATCCTAATTCAATACCTACTCATTATTTATTTAAATAACTATTATGGTTCAATTTTCAATTTTCCAGACTCCAATTCCTCTTCTTTTTGAACCATCCTTCACACTGGTGCCACAGTCTTATTTAAATTCAGATTTGGCCAGATCATGTGTCTCTGGATCCATGCTCAACTATCTGGATCCAGGGATTTCCAGATCCCCAGGGTAAAGGTCCTTGCCAATCAATGCTTTCTGTCTCATCTCCACCATATGCTATATGCCTGACACCCTCATCTTACTTATTCCAAGCTGCACTGCAGGTACAACAGAACTTATGAGCATCTCAACCAGGCTATCCACAGTTTGAAAAACTATATCCTATATACTTTTTCTTTTCCAAACACAAACCACATAATGTGGAGCTCAACAAAATTTTATTGATTGAAGTTAAGAAGTATATGAGTGCAAGTGTTAGAATACAGGTTGAGAATCGTTGCCTAAATAGACGATACACCTCTTGGTTAGACATGATACCCCTTGCCAGGTCAGTGAATTAGCATCCCAGTTTTCCACACAGTTTACAAAAACATAGCTTCTAGTACAATCAAATTCTGGTTCCAACACTATCCAAACTGGAAAGGAAGTAAAACTGCCACTATTTGCAGATATGGCATTATATAGAAAAATCTTAAAGATTCTATCAAAAAACTGTTAGAACTTTAAAAAAAAAAAGTGGTAAAAATGACAAATATCTCAGCCCACAAATGTGTAAATGACTCTCATGCAAATGCTGAGGTGAATGAACACTTGGGGCTTCCATAGTAAGATGAGGGGTCAACATTCAAGGAGCACCTTATGGTATATGGCTTTGTGCCTCAACCGAAGTGAAAAAGTGAAGTCGCTCAGTCATGTCCGACTCTCTGCGACCCCACGGACTGTAGCCGGCCAGGCTCCTCTGTCCATGGGATTTTTCCAGGCAAGAATACTGGAGTGGGTAACCATTTCCTCCTCCAGGGGATCTTC